CCCCAAAACCCCAAAACCCCAAAACCCCAAAACCCCAAAACCCCAAATCAATATAATCATATTGAAATAAAAATGAGGTGAGATCACTCCAGCACTTATTATTATTCTATTCGTTCCTGAGGGACTTAAATTGGGGTTTAGCCTTCTGTTTATCATTCATTTACTAAATTCTTACTTCCAATAGCCTCGATTACAAAATGAAGTGAAAAACAAACAGCGAATCCTCAATGACAGGCAAGAATATCTCAAGAAATAAGGGTACTTTAAATGACATGGCTGAGCAAAAATATGAGATTCCTAAGATTCCAATTTCAAGACTCAGTACGAATGATAAGAAATCTAAGAGCAAGGGTGATCTTGGAATTAACGCCAACTCTAAGACTACCAACCTGAATAGATCTTTCAATAGTACTTCATTAAAGCTAGATTATTCTGAAAATGGATGCTCTTCAGTTAGAAATACCAGCAAGCATCAGCTTGGTATTGCCTTCGGTCGTAGGATTTCAACTGCAAGAAGAGTTCCGAAAAATGTAGTTAAAGACAACGAAATCGGCAACCCTACTCTCGAACAATTCATGGAAGTTTTCAAAGAGCAACTTCAGGAGCAGTTTCAAGAATCTCTCACAAAAATGGTAAATTTCAGTCCTAAACAAACCATCATTTTTCCATTATGATCATACCCAGTCTACCTAGCTTCAAATTAGCGTTCTTACTGCTAAATTTTATCCAAACTGATTGAGGTTATCTTTAAAGCATTCCAAAAGTTCAATTTATTTAAACATGTTTAGTTAATTCAAATCCGTAAATCAGGCCAAGACCAAAAGTCAGATGGTAAGTATAATGGAAATAATTAAAGATAGTCATGAAGAAACAAAAGGAACTTAGGTCTAAGCTTCCAGAAGCCACCCAAGACCCCAACCAAAAAAACAAAGCTAGTAAGATTATTCATAATTTTAAGAAAAAGGATTACACGAAAGATCTCACTCAAAGTTTTGAGGCACTTGACTCCCATCTTCAGAACATGGAAGAACAGAAACTACATGTGGGTAATGACACTCATAGTTCACCCAAGCCAGTTGATGCCATTTCATCTGGTGAAGAGGCCCATGAGAAAGATGCTTCTGATAAGGACTTGGCAGCATCCAACAGCTCTGGGTCCAACATGGTTCCTCTTCAGAAAAATTCTAGAGAAGCACAAACCCAGACTGAGGAGAAAAATGATGACAGCAATAAGATAGAGGTAGCTGCTAATATGTCTAAAATCTAGAAGTCCGACTCTGCTGAGATCAGCCAGGTTGAATTCCAAGAAGATGACAAGAAAAATTCACTATCACCTATCTCATTTGTTTACCCTAAGGAAGAAACAAAGGAAGATTATGAGCCAATCAGAAGAATCAGCTCCCTCAAGACCCAAAATATGAAAAGATCGAGATCTTTAGACTCAAGAGAGCTAAGATCAACTTCATCAGAAAGAAGCAAGAAACTCAAGAAGGAAAAACTTGATCAAGATCTAAGGTATTCCTATTCACTAATTATCCAGCAAATTGCAAAATGAAGCGCTTATCAGGGAAAAGAAAGAAATGGAGAAGGCCATCAGTAAACTGGTTGAGAGATTAGAGACACTTGAAGATAAATTCACCCAAAGCAAAAGTAAGTCTAATCTTAGACACCCTATTCACCATCAATTTATCAGAGCCCGAGATCAGCAAATTCGATAGTTAGGTTTTGCTTATTAAAGACGCAACACATTGCCCTCTAAGAAATATATACCCCTTAGCAATACTAAATTCACTAAGACCATCTTCATTCTTCCTGAAATGACTAATGATATCTATCCTACTCTATCTTACTCTAAATAGCTGAAAATGATAAACTCCAAAAGAAGAACCATGAAATCAACATTGCTCTTGAAGCAGCCAACAAAAAGCACCAGAAAGAACTAGAAGCTTATAAAGATCAGAATAAAGAAGGATCTCAATTTTGGAACTACATGAATGCTTTTGTCTTATTCATAATTTGCATGGCAGCCTTGTATATGAAGCTTGATGAATAATTTTCAAATATATCATTTTCATAAAATTTAATACAATTTCGAACACCCCTTCTGGGGTTTTGGGGTTTTGGGGTTTTGGGGTTTTGGGG